GGTGGTTGGCGTTTTATCCGGTGGCGAAGGTGGGGTTCATTATCTGAGGCCGGTCGATCCGAACGGGTTCGCGGTGGCTCAAGGGGGCAACAATCAGCAGCAGCAAATTATCACGCTGCCAATTACCGTACCTGGAAAAGATGGCACGCAACAGCAGCAAACCGTTCAAATCCAGGTGGTCAATCCCAGCGTTTCGCAAAGTGGAAACAGCGGTGATCAGCCCAAATATCATTTGGCTCCAATATCTTTGGGACAGTTCCCCCAAGGTGCCGCAACAGTTCTTACCGTTGCATATAGTCAACAAGGCGCAGATGGGGTACAAATTCAAGTTCAACCACAAAACACCGTGGCTACGACGCAAACGTAAGAACCATCGTTTCATCTAAATTACTTTTAGCACATTTTACATAGGATTGTTTATAGTAAATGTATCCTATTTCGTATTTTTTTAAATTGTATGTTTATGTTAGAATATAAACAATTAACACGAATATATATTGCCCTTATTTTAGGTCTGATCAAACAACCCAAAGTACATCCACAGCAGTCACTACTACATCCCAACAAACCATTCAACAGACAGTGCAACTACCAGGGGCACCTGAAGGATTAACCGTCGTCGCACAGATTCCACAAGATTTAATTTTACGCGAAGGTATGGAAGAGTCGAAGGAAGATGTGAAGGAAGGTACGACACCGGTCGCTCTCATCAAGAGAGGTAACATTAAGAATCAAGGGAATCAGAGTGGAGAGGAATATATCACATCTATGCCTGCGAGTTGGCAAAGTCTGGCAACCCCAGGGTCAACTGTGGCTGATTATCTCTCTAGATTGCCTGCTAGTACCTTGCCTCTTAGTTTGCAGCACTTCTTGAAATTTTCGGCAGAAACGATAAAGAGAGAAGCCACTATCGAGTCGAGTCCTCTAGGAGCTGATGGCTTAGACGCATCTGGAAGCACTGCGTCCGGTGAACAAGCAGTACAGATTACCGTGGCAAGCGGTGAAACCGCTATTATTCCCGATGTCGTTGAGGAACAAGAATCTGGTACAAAACCTAAGAGAAAGAAGAAGTATAAGAAAAAGCCTCCAAAGCCAAAAAAGCCAAAACCAGGTCAAGTGAGCATAGTTACTGCTCTTGATGGAACAACGTTGTTCTGTTGTCCTCAATGTAACATGGCTTATCCTGAAAAGGAACTCTTGGAACAGCATCTTATCGGGCATAAAATAGAAAGAAGGTTTATTTGTGACATTTGTGGTGCAGGTTTGAAACGTAAAGAACATTTAGAACGACACAAATTGGGTCATAATCCGGATAGGCCTTTTATTTGTTCAGTTTGCATGAAAGGCTTCAAACGAAAAGAGCACTTGAATCTTCATTTTGTTATACATTCTGGACAGAAAACAGAGGTTTGCAGTGAATGCGGTAAAGCATTCTATCGCAAAGATCACTTGAGAAAACATGCCAGATCCCATTTGGCAAAACGTATCAAAGAAGATCCTTCGAATATTGCTGATACTTCCCAAAATTCGCAACAGCAAACGGATCAACAACAACAGGCGGAACAATTGCAACAGCAAGCAGATCAATTACAGCAACAATCTTCGGTGTCTGAGTTGCAGCAGATCCAAATACAAGTAGGTCAAGGATCTCAGGCACAGATCCATCAGATAGCTGTGAGTGAGCAGTCTACGGTTGTTCTTCCAACTGCTGCGGAAACTGGTGCAATGGCCATGCTCCATCATCAACAACAACAGCAGCAGCAACAGCAGCAGCAGCAGCAGCAACAACAGCAGCAGCAGCCGCAGCAACAGCAGCAGCAGCAGCAGCATTAGCAACAGCATACCGCCCCGAGTCAGCCTGGGCGGTTCTTCCGATTTAATCATCAACAAGCTAGAGGTCGTGCAAGGCAAGGTGTTCTTGCCGATTGAATTCTATAATCTCATAGTCAAATTGGTATTGTGTTAAAAAAAATTCGTTGATGGTGGTTATCATTGCCTAGTAGTGGTGTTACAAAATTGAGACATTCGCTGTATCTTTAAATAAAGATACTTTTACTGACGAGCCGTCGCATTTCGAAGTTTGTACACCATCAGCTTCTTAAGGAAGTTGTAGGCCAGATTAATCTATGATTATAATTACACTGCTGAGCTGACTGACAAACGATGTTCATACGTATGATTTTTCATTTTTGCGTACACGTTATAGCGTACGTGTAGAAAAGCAAAAAAGAAAAAAAAGAATTATGAAGGACGAGTTAATTTGCTCGTTTAATTCAAAATGTTTTTGTCGCTAATCCAGTTCCATGACGCAAGTTAGAATTAAATAAAGAAGTTTATATATACATATATTATATATATATATAAATATATAAATATGAAAATATATTTTTGAAAGCGCGAACTGGATTCGTCACACAGAATGCAATCGAGTTTTCGGCTAAAGTTAATTTTTTTTCTTTTTTTTTTCACAATAAATATAGGACGAGAAAAATACGTAATGCGTAAGAAACTAAACTAAAATAATACACAAGGCAGGGCTGTAAATACAACCAATTTACTGTTCACAAAAAGGGAAGAAACTGTCGCGCAGATATAAAATGAATCCATTTATTTATTCCACTTGTTCTTTACGTGATTATAAAGACACGAAACAAGAGTGTATCGTAAAAACTGTTGGACGATGATTAACATTTAAAAGAAAACTACGTTTTGCGATATAAATTGTAAAGTTTTATATTTGTATCTGCATCTACACATTGATTAGCTAATGTTTGCTTTTATGAAAATAGATACATTTTTTACTTTATCAATATAAATCAGTCTAAGAAAAATACATTTATTATTACAAAAATTTCAAAATAACTAAATGTAAGTACATCTGTTATTTTTGAATTAATTTAAGATTATCACAAAATACGAGTGGCTAATTAAAACCGTGTATTTAAATTCAGCAAAAAGTAGTTTTACAGCCACTAATACATCTAGAGATTCTAAGCTAGTGTAATTTATTTTGTATAGTATTTAAATCGTTTTATTTACTAAACTAATAGTTTTTATGAGAAAACTTTTTAATTCTCTTCTTTCAGTTGAATATACATATTTGAAAAAAAGATTTTGTATTATCATAAAATGCACATTTCAGAGCTACAGCAAATAATTGTTGGGATTGAACCATCATCCAATTTATTAATCAATCATGATACACTCTCAAGATCATTTGAGAAAAAGATGTATGTATACAAAAAGAATAATTTTTATTGCAAGTATCATTATCAAAGGCAATGGGTATAACTGTACAAGAAATATAATTATTATTTTATTATCATATTATTATAGCTATTATCATAATCAGTATGGATAGTCTATAAGTCATTTTCATTGTTACTTACATAAATATTGGAGAAAATAGCTAAAATAAAACATTTAATATAAACAATTTTCTATTGATTAACCAATTATAAAAATTTTTGTATTATTGATTCACGTACTTTTAATTTATCAACTACCGAGCATGAGATGTTAATGTCTAAAAGATATTGATGCATTTTAAATAAACAAACTATTAACCGATAATCTATATACAGGAGAATCTATTAATCTTTGAAATCATTTGTATATTTGTATTGTTATTATTCTATTAATGGATGTAAGGATTATATATTTTTTTATGTTACTATATATATAAGTACACACACGCGCGCACACACACACACACACACACACACACACACAATTTTAATTTTTATTAATTTTAATAAAATATTCATTTGCAAATAAATTATTCGTTACAACAATTTTCATACACATTAGCTACAAATTCTTATATTATTAAATTCTATTTCACATTCTGCAATAATAAAGATTATTAATTAACTGTTAATTACAAAAATATAACATTATAAGACACAAGATATTCCTCGTCAAGTTTCGCTCCGTACTTTTCTCTTTCTGATTGGTGGTATTCCTCGACGACCGTGGAGTATATATCTCGAACTTGTTCCTACTCCCATGGACGGAGAGAAAGAGAGAGAAAATAATGGCAGGTCGCCGGGAGCAATTCGAAGTTAAAACCCCGATGGATTCGGGCATTTTCGCCGGCGCGGTCGCGAGGAGGGTCGGGAGAGAGAAAAAATAGTTAAGAGGCTGGCACAGTAGAGGGCGGACGGATGGGGTGGGGGCACCGACTTGAGGGACAGGTGTCAACGGCACACACATAGAGCGGGGGATCTTTTTTCGGAGATTCTCGGCTTCGTGAAAATTTTTGTACCAGGCGAGCGCAAGCTGCTAAGTACTAAATGGTAAGGTGGATTTTCTACTAAATTTTTTCGAATTAAGTTAGAGCTTAACGTTCGTGATGTTCCGTATTCGGTACGGCCATTTTCTGCTGAATTTCGTGCGAATTCGGCCCCCGCGTATCGACTAGGTGCCGAGAGGGGGAAGTCTCCGGGTCTCTCCCCTCACACTTCATCCCACTGCACGCATACTGTACCCATCCCTCTGCCACCAGATCATCCCCCCTGCGTCCTCCCCCGTTCTCCTTCATTCTT